AACCCATTCTTCTTAAGAGATGTTGCTGGAGGGAGAGGAATATGCCAGTTTTAACTGAGACCAACTGTTCTATGACTTTGTTTTGAAGAGGACTACAGATAGGAAAATAATTGAGATCCAGTGATCCAATCTGGTCTTCACTCACTAGAGAACCAAAGACGGATGAACTTATCCTGCTAGGATTTGAACAGGATGTTCAAGGGAAATTACACAAGTTAAGTCTTCTTCATATTGCCGTGGAAAGCACTAGGAATTCGCTTCATGTAAACCGTAGTGATTACTCACTATATTTCTTCATGTCATGTAGTAAAAACAATTAAGTGAAGCTAGACTATAGATTACTTGGCTATTCAGCCAGTCACCTCTAATGGAAAAGAAGAAAAATAGCATTGACAAGTTTTGGCAGGCCTCATCATTAGAAATGCCTATATTGCCAGAAAGAAAAGAAGCTTCAGCCAATAATGTCAACCTAGAAGTTCTCTAGGCCTTGAGGAAGAAAGTGACAATGTAGAGTGTTGCAACATTAATTGTCTGAGAGCACTGACCATTGTAATGGGGAAACTGTCTCTTTTATTAAGACAATTATTTTCTACCAAGTCTTTGAGTAAATGTTCCATTAGAAAAATAGCATTAGGAGTTTCAAAGCATATATAGTGATGTAAAGATATACTCATTAATAAAATAAAGTGTGACCTATATGCAGCCCAAAGTCCCTTGATAATAGAAATAGCATTAATATAGGTATAATGACAGTATAATTGAGTAATTATTTTTAAAAAGTAAAAATTTATACCATTTTCTAAACTAATGGAAATTATACTTTTAACATGTTTGAGAAAGATATCCATACACATGTATGCATATTCACATTATATGCATATTCATATATACATATATTTTTTATGTCAACATCTTGAACCAGGCTTTTAGACCCTTCTTCTACTCACCTCCAATTTATGCATTTTATCTCCATAACCAATCTCTGCTGACAGTTTTAAGAGGCTGAGAACTGAAGGAAGTAGAATATTATCTATGTAGGAAGAAACAAGAGGCAGTGGTGCTGATTAAGGTCCAGGCTAGATGATTTCTTAATGAGCTGTCCACGTTTGGACATAGGACTCTGCTTGCAGGATCTAGCCTATCTCTAGAACCAATAGTCAGTCCTGTGAGATGTATTTTTAACATTTGTATAATAGCTTCTGCTGTTTTTGCCTCTGGTATGCATTATTTGGCTGAGTTCAGTGATGGTCCTGTCAAACATTCTAATTTATTTTTCTTAAATTGTAGTTAGCCTACATTCATTATTAAGACAGTGAACAGTTTCTTTTTTGGAAATGAACTCTTGAGTGGAATAGAGATATAAAGGGTGAGGGAAGTTGTACATGTTCGAATTGGTAAGTGACGGCAAGTAACTTGTGGTATCTGACATAGATCAATTTATTAACTGGCCTTCTCTAATCATAAATGGGGTGGCACACTCCTAAAGGAGCCAGCTTGAAAACAATGGAGAAGTGAGCAGAGAAGAGCTATATCATTTTGAAGCCCCTTTTTCCCCGTCTTCTGTGTATCTCACCAAGGCAAAATGCTACATATCGAGCAGTTTATTTTTTAAAGCATTTTTTGCTAGTCTCCTTGCAGAATCAGCCTGATGTATATGAAGCCAATTTCTACAGACTTGCTCTGGTATATGCAGCACAAGAGCCAGAAATATGTATTTTTTTGTAGTCTGGATCTATGTACTTTCTGAAATGTCTTCCCTTGAAAGATTCTAACTTAGCACTATTCTGGAACCACATGAACATTTGAGCAGAACTACGTATTTTTGAGCAACATTAACAATGATGAAAAATGCACATCAGGCAATTAGATTGCAACTAATCAAGAGTACTACTTCAGCCTAGTATGAATGATTTATATATAGTGCATTGGATATGGAGATCATTAGTAATAATATGATACCCTGTTGTCATTATAAGGTCACCTTGGTGATCTTTGTAAGATATTTGTAAGGTGACAATGATGTTATTGACCTACATTTTAAACATTGCATTTATGTATTGTTTCCTGTCTTGATTTACTGGTAAAAATTTTAATTTGTTTGCCCTTACTACTGAGATTTTTCCTCAAATATAATAATAATAGGTTTTGGGATTACTTCATTAATAAATTGAGGCCACAAGGTTAATTAAGTGCCAATCATAAAATGTTGGAATGTTAAATTTTAAAGTTTCTTTTTTCTTCTGCTTTAATTTACACACTACCTTTTCTTTCTTTTCTTTTTTCTTTTTTTAGAAAAGGTCTCTCTCTGTCATCCAGCCTGGAGTGGATAACACTCCAGCTCACTGTAGCCTCAACCTCACAGCTCACTCTAGCCTTACTGCAGCCTCAATATTCTTGCGGAAATGATCCTCCCACCTCAGCCTCCAGAGTAGCAGAGACTACAGGCACATAGCACAATGCCTGGCTAATATTTTTATTTTTATTTTTTATTGTAGAGACAGGCTTTCACTCTGTTGCCTAGGCTGGTCTCAAAGTTGTGTATGCATGCGATCCTCTCACCTTGGCCTCCCAAAGTGCTGGGATTACAGGCATGAGCCACCCTGCCTGGCCCGCACTGCCTTTTCCAAAATGGATTTTTGAAGAATTAAAAACATATAGTAACTTTCTATGTATGAGTAATATATGTTTATTTTAAGAAAGTTAGAAAATACAGATACACAGAAAGAAAACCATATATAATTCACATACATATATATCTTTTTCTAAGCTGAACTCACATTGTGATTATGATGTGCTTATTAAAATAAATATTTTTGAACACCTTTCTATGTGAATAAAATATATTACATATGTGCATACACACAGACATGTATAAGCCACACATAAACACACAGACCTACACACAGAGAGACAGAGACAGAGACAAAGAGACACAGAGTTGAAAAAAAACCCAAAAAGTTAAAAGAAAAATTTATAGTCCCCTTTCCCACATCTCTTCCAGAATGTCATTTAGAAGCAGCAAATTAAAGACATACATAGAAATTATATGAAGTGATCATTAGCATCTAACAGTTCCCATATTATGTTTAATGGCTGCTTAGTAATCCATCATATAAATAAATCCTTGCTTTATTTAACCAGACTCCAATTATTGGATATTTAGGCAATTTTCAATATTTGTTACTATAAAAGCATCATGAAAATTTCTTATACATAACTCTCTTTATATATCTCTGATAATTCCTTTTGAAATGTTTAAATGTAAAATAACTTGATCACAAGGAATACATATTTTTAAGGGTTTTGGTACCTACCGACAAGTTGCCCTTCATAAATATTGCACCAATTTTACAATTTTACATTACTTACTCATGACGACTTTTTTTTTTTTTTTTTTTTTTTTTTTGAGATGGATTCTTTCTCTGTTGCCAGGCTGGAGTGCAGTGGTGTGATCTCAGCTCACTGCAACCTCTGCCTCCTGGGTTCAAGAAATTCTCTGCCTCAGTCTCCCGAGTAGCTGGGATTACAGGCGGCCACCACCACACCCAGCTAATTTTTGTATTTTTAGTAGAAACGGGGTTTCACCACCTTGGCCAGGCTGGTCTTTAACTCCCGAGCTCGTGATCCACCTGCCTCAGGCTTCCAAAGTGCTGGGATTACAGATGTAAGCCACTGTACCTGGCATGAATGACTTTTTTTAACTTCATATGTTAAAAATTCAGGTGACTTCATATTGGGTGTATATAAATCAGAGGAAAAAGTATCTCTCTTAAGTGGAGTAAATTAGTTGGGATCATTATATAATAGCACAGCTCCTTCCTTAGCACCAAGCATGGCACATGGTAGACTGTCTTAGTCTATTTGTCATGCCATAAAGGAATGCCTGAGGCTGTATAATTTATAAAGAAAGGAGGTTTATTTGGGTCACAGTTCTGCAGGCTGTAAAGAAGCATGGCAACAGAATCTGCTTCTGGTAAAGTCTCAGGGAGTTTCCACTTATGTCAGAAGGTGAAGGGGAGCCAGCATGTGCAGAGATTAAATGATGAAAGAGAGGAAGAGAGAGAGAGAGAGAGAAGGTTCCAGGCCTTTTTTTTTTTTTTTTTTTTTTTTTTTTTTTTAAACCAGCATTTCTCATGGGAACTAGGAGTGAGAAATCACTTCCATGATAATGGCACCAAGGTATTCATGAAGGATCTACTCCTATGATCTAAACACCTTGTACCAGGCCCCACCATCAGCATTGAGAATCAAACTTCAACCTGGGACTTGGCAAGGCCAGACAAACCATATCCAAACCATATCAGAGACACATTTTATAGTTAGTTTTATAACTGTTGAATAAAAGATGTCCTGGGGATATTGGTAAAAGGACTGAAACAAAAGTGAGGGGACATGTACTCTAATCCTGGCTCTGCCACTAACTACATATGAGTTTGCAAAAGCCATTTAACCTCTCTGGGCCTTAGTTTCCTAATCTTATAATAGAGTTGTTTGAGCAGTAGATGAAATACACATATGTAAGTTTTTTATAAACTGTAAATGACAATTTTAATGTAAGAAATTAGGACTACTATAAATTGTTTACACTAGTGGGAACTCCTTAAAATTGTGGGCATTTCATCTCAAAATGACTGGTATGTTGACCGAAAATTGAAAAAAAAAAAAAAAAAAAAAAAAAAAGGGAAATTGAATAGTGTTCAGTTGGGAGAGTCTGTGGAGTGGGTGAGAATTTCATACTCCTCCAGGTATACTCTTCTATAATTAAGAAATTCTTTATTAGCAGCATAATTAATATAATTAGTTGAAATTTCAAGCAGACCTTTTAAAAAACTGACCCCTTTATCTCCTGTGCATTGCACAATGAATATTCTTATATCCACAATCCTCATCTCTACTTCTAGCCCTACCCCATATGTATCCTTCCATTCTTTCATATAAGGATTGCTTTGTATTTGCATGCACTTATGTTTGAAGGATAATTTGGCCTAATTTGTTTACAGGAGTTACAAGGGTGACCTTTATTCCGCTGTCTCCTTTTCGATTCCCATAACTTCTGGATCTATCAAGGTATGTGCATTTTATACTGAATTTTACTTTGAGAATTGAACACATAGCTACATAATATGAAAAGAATGGAATGTTTTGGTAATATAGTCAGTTATGTTTATTGTGTGTCATGTAAATGAAATGCATTGTTTTAAAATTTTTTAAATTGTATCTGTACCTCATAATTTTTAGTGTTTGTAAAAACAAATATGCAGTCTCTCTTACATGTCTGAATAATTCTGTGACCTTTTCCACATATAGCTACTACCATCAGGAGACTTCTTGACTAATGGGAACATCTGTAGAGTGTGTAGGAACAGCAGTAGCCAGAGAATATGTTTGTAAAACTAGTAGTTCTTCTTGACTACAAATAAATATTTCTCCATATCAATGAAACAAATATTTCATTGAGAAAATTTTACTGACATAAATATTTGCCTCCTGAAATGAATGTTTTGATTCTTTAGGAAAGTCTCACGTAAAATATTTCTATTTATACAGGTATTGCATTCATTTACCCTTTCATTCTACTTTCTCTTCATCTATCTATCTATCCATCTCTAAGCCCAATAAACAGGTATTGAGCATCTTCTGGGCAAAAGTTAATGTGCCTTGTTTCCTGGAAAATGTGCCAATGTAGATATAATTCAAGTGGAGCACTGAGAGTGTTTGCTTCTCTATAGTCAGTCTACTGTTAAGTGGACTACGTGAGAAAATGTGGCAAGATGAAAGACCTCCCTCATTGGTTTCAATTTTTATTAAAATATCGGTCAATGTTCACTCCTTAGTAACTAAGGCATAGAAAGCATTGATTTTTCCCCCATGCTACCTATATCTTGCAGTGCTATGCATCATTTCTCAAATGTGAACTCTCATTCCAAGCTGTAAAAAAAGTCAAAAGGATGATCTGAATTTGTGGTAAGTCTTTGGCATCACTTGTACTTTTTTAAGAGTATGTAAAAGAGAAATGCACAAACTTTCAGAATTTGCATTGCCCTTCTAAAAATATAAAACAAATATCTCATTAAGCATGTTATTAATTGGGCTCCAATTAATGGATATTAGTCTGTATCAGAAATTTAAAACGGACTTGTCAGTTTTGCCTATACATGTAGTTCTACTCACCTTTCTTTCAGAGGTACTGTCTTTAAGGGAATCCTATTGCCAAAAAGTTCAGATCACTATAGGAGAAAAATGTAAGTTCAGAAAATAAAATGACAGTAAAAGATAAACTTACTTAAAAAGCAAGTCAAGATTTTTCAATATAATGTCATTTGTGAAAATAATTTTTTTATTTGGTAATTGTGAGTCTACCAGTTGTGCAATACTAATTGCAAGGTATTTTTCACACTAAGAAAGTTTAAATGTGTGGAAAATATTAGTCTTACTAAGCTAATGTGAATGAATGGATTGGAATGGAGAGAAAAATGCCTGACACGCCCAAAGAATGCACACTTATAAAAATAATTGGCCCTAAATATTTAAAAGGTTCAGAGAGCAACTAGTTTCCCTCTTTTAGAGAGACAACATGGCATAGTAGAAAAGCCCTTGCCTGTCAATCAGAAAACCTGGGCTCTACTCTCCGTCTTATATTAGTAATATGTTTCTCCTCAGGTCACTTCTCCACTCTGAGCATTTGTTTTCTCAGGTCTATTATAAAAACTTTGGGCTGGATAACTCCAACTGTCTTTCTATTCAAACATTCTACGATTTTTAGAAAACTCAGAGCTGTTCTCAGATATGCACTATGGAATCAAGATCAGTGATTCTATTGGAAGACATACACCAGTTTAAAAGATTGCTCCTTGTTGAGTTATTTAGTGAGTTGGTCATAGTATATTTATTTTTCCTTGATGTAAAGCAATTCTGTATTCTAACACCACTATCACTCACTGACTCCACATGTACCAGTACTGGCATTATAATAGTTTCAAGCTAAAGTTTAGCTGGTAGTCTCGAGTCCTCCTCCTTGATCAAAATGCTGAACTTTGGGATGCTGCTATGCTGCTCTTCTGTCAGCCTCTTGGAGTTCAGCAAACTATGTTTTTACCCTCTTGCATGATGGTCATTCAAGGTCAAGCATCTCTCTGTACCTTGAAACCATCCAAGTGCGTAACCTGATGACTTCAGACTCCAGTGCTTTCAATCTGGCACCCTTCATGAGCATTGAGTTCATATTAAAGCATTTAAAATATATTCTCCTTCATCTACATATCACAGCAGTAACAACTTGGGCACAGGACAGTGCCTGAGAGCAAATAACCACTTGGAGTTAATGATCTGAGGGGCAGCTGAAGGACCATTGACTCTTCCTAGTCAGTTCTTTGTCCCTATAAAATGCCTGTTCCTGAGGTACCCAGCCTTCAATAATTTTTCTGTCTCACATCAGATTAAGTAGTGACCATAAATAATAGCATTTAATACATAATAATGAGATGTGGCAATGCAATAAAATATCAACAATTCTAGTACTATATTAAGATGACTATTCTGATGAAACCAAAAGAATGAGCAGTAAATGAAGTTCATGAATCATAATATTTTAGAAGAGACTTTCACCTTATTGATTTGAAATGAAATATAAGAAAGCATTCCTCTGAGTGGAGGGGAGCAGTTCCCTTTCTTTTGCTCTGTATTCCACTGATGAATGATCCAATTTAGAAATAATAAAAAATGCCTCTGACATCTATTTTAAATTGATTTTTAAATAGTGTATGTTCAGCTTTTTCCCCCTCTTTTTTTAGCACTAGATTCATTTTTCAAGATATGTACAGCTCTGAACTAAGTTACAAAAACAACTCTACAAATGTTCTTTTCCAGAAGAAACGCTTTTTATTTATTTATTACTGAGACAAACATTTATAAGTCTCTACAGTGTGCCAGGCATCGTGCTAGGTGCTGGGGAAACAAAAACTAATATGAAATGTAGTCCTCACTCATAACGTCATAGTAGAGAGCCGGGGACTGAGCTATACACAGAGAAAGAAAATAATCAAGTGTTATAGGTGTGGAGTTTGTATGAATTTACTTGCTCATGGCATTTTTTTATAAGTTTAAAAGATTCATATATCAAAACCTACTGAGTAGGGCAATGATATGTGCAATCTAAAATAGCTTTCCACTCAAATCTACAGAAATCATTGCTTATGGTGGGCAGAATGGCTCCCAGCCAAAGAGATATTTATGATGTAATCTAATAGGGAGATTATCCTGGTTATCTCGGTGGGCCTAATGTAATTACAAGCATCTGTAAAAGTGGAAGAAGGAGCAGGAGAGAAAACCATAAAATAATCAAGTGTTGTAGGTATGGAGTTCGTATGAATTTACTTGCTCATGACATTTTTTTAATAAGTTTAAAAGATTCATATATCAAAACCTACTGACTAGGGCAATAATATGTATAATCTAAAATAGTTATCCACTTAAATTTATGGGAATCATTGGTTATGGTGGGCATAATGCCCCCTCACAAAGATGTTTGTGTCCTAATCTCTGAAACCTGTGAATATGGCATGTCACATGACAAAGAGAAATTAAGATTGCATGTGGAATTAAGGTTACTAATTGGCTGATCTTAAAACAGGGAGATTGTCCTGGTTATCTCGGTGGGCCCAATGTAACTACAAGTGTCTTTAAAAGTGGAAGAAGGAGGCAGAAGAGAGAAAAGCAGAGAGATGGCCACATGAGAAGAACTTGGCCTGATATTACTGGCTTTGAAAATAGAGGAAGGGGCCATGAGCCAAGGAAGGTGGATGGACTCTAGAAAGTGGGAAAGACAAGAACACTGATTCTTCCCTAGAGCCTCTAGGAAGAAATTCAGCCATGCTGATACCCCCATTTTAACCTATCAAGACTCACTTCAGACTTTTGACCTCCAGATTATCTAAGATAAGTCTGTTGTTCTATGCTGTCAAGTTTGTGGTAATTTATTACAACAGCAAGAGCAAACTAGTAAACTGAGGTTTACTCAGTACAGAAAATTTGAGGAGAAATCTCTAGTTGTCAGTTAGCCATGATTGCTGAAAGGCATTCCTCATACTGAAATTAGTGCACAGGGTTATTTATCTAGTGACCACTTTTTCTTTTTCTCTTTTTTTTTGAGATAGAGTCTTGCTCCATTGCCCAGGTTGGAGTGCAGTGGCACGATCTAAGCTCACTGCAACCTCCACCTCCCAGGTTCAAGAGATCCTCCAGCCTCAGCCCCCCTGGTAGCTGGGATTACAGGCACACACCACCACACCCAGCTTATTTTTGTATTTTTAATAGAAATGGGATTTCACCATATTGACCAGGCTGGTCTCAAACTCCTGACCTCAGGTGATCCACCCACCTTGGCCTCCCAAAGTGCTGGGATTGCAGGGGTGAGCCACTGCACCCGGCCAACTAATGACCATTTTTTCTGCATATCCATATCAGTCCCCTCCATCAGAACTAAAGCAATTTGTGAGTTCCCTGGAAAACCTGGCAATTCTATCACTCCCACTCCCAATTTCAGAGAGAATTTAGTCCTCCTTCTCTCTCCTTCTATGGACCACTTATGCTCCCTCCTCCTATCCCCTTGTCCTATATCCCTCCACATTGATGCCTAGGATAAGGTTTGTTGATAAGCGAGAAGCAAAAATATATTTTTTTTTCTTTCATGGAACACCTGCAGCAGGAAGAATGACATAGGCACTAATATCCTAATAGGTTACCCTGGCATGGGTTTCATGACAATCTAAATGTTGGGTATGTATTAAGTATAGCGTGAAATTGAAGTTTCAAGCTAGTGGCCTATTGTTCAAGATCAGTCCTCAGATACATTTGTTTGCAACTCAGAATGGTTTCTCTCCTCTCTTCTCCTGTTCTTCCTTTTAAAAAATGCTGTAGCTTGAGTGTTCCCTCTTTAATTCTGTAGTAGAGGGTAAGTGCATATGCTTTGGGGTTTAAAAACATGAGACGATCCAATTCGGCCACATATTGGCTGTACAACTTGGGCAAGTAGGTTAAGAATAATCTCTCTAAATCTCAATCTCCTAAGC